ACAATGTGGGGGACTGTTCTATTTTATTGGTATCTTGGCCATGGGATATGCAGGCTCTCTACGCCCAGCCTGAACTCTAACAAGTAACACGAGTCAGAAAGACTGTCTATGCTGTTACTTTTCTTAATGCTTTTCTCTGATAAACTCTATTTTTATACCTGCATTGAGTACTGCTGCAACAAATAAAGACAAGCTCCAATCATGGTAAGTCCCATGAAGGAAATAAGCCAGTGCCGTGGGACAGAGAGGGACTGGGGCTGGGTGAGGGCTGCTTCCGCTAGGACAGTGAGGGAGGACCTCTCGGAGGAGGCAGTAACAGAGTCAACGCGGGGTGAGAAAAGGCAGGCAGCCAGGCGAACATGGCGCGCAGGAACAGCGGGCACAGCGGCGTGGGCGGAGCGTGAGTGTGAGACGTTCCTGGGCAGAAAGCAAGCCAGGCCACAGTGCAAGAGCGGCGTTGCAGCGGCAACTGCAGAGAACTCTCAGGGGACACGTAAGGAGATTAGATTTTATTCTAACTATAGTAAGAAGCTGTGAGAGAAGTTAAAGTGAAAGATTCAATTTAAGTTGATAAACATACTTAATATTCTAACTCCTGGTTGCGGTGGAGAATAGCGCGCAGGGGCATCAGTGGAGGCAGCGAACCGAGCCAGAGGCTCCCACGGAGAGCCGGGGACATGTGACAGGTACAGGGGCAAAGACTGGCAGGTCTACAGGACTGGTGCATGCGGAGAGATTGGATGGGAGAGGCAGGAGAAAGGAAGCATCATCGATGATTCCAGGAGAGAGAGCCTAGTCCTTTCAATCCCTGGTCCACATGGTCCACGTTGTCAATCACAATCATGTAAAAGTAACTACTGAGAAAAAAGGGGGCAATAGGAAATAAAGATTAATAAAGACTAGAGAGTCCAGACTAAACAGAAAGTCAGAAAAGCCAATGTTTAGACAGGCAAAGGATTCTGAAATATTCTTTGGAAGTTGATAACCGTCTCGGTTATTCAGAGGCCACAGCCATCGGAGGCTTAAGAAGTCTGGCAGCCCAGTGCTCCCTGCAAAAATGTGGCCCATTAGTCTTTAAACCTGGATTTAAAAACGGGGACGGATAACCCATGCTTGTTAGAAGCAAGCTCAGCCATTCATTATATTTCAGGACCAGAGTCTCAAGATGACTGGGAGGTTTGCCACTCGAATTTATCTCAGAAATTGAGAATTAGTCACCAGATTCCATGTAAACCACAAAAGAGAAGTGGGAAGCAGACTAATGCTCACTTAGCTCCTACGTGCCAGCAGTTTATACACATTAGCTCTGATAATCCTCACAAATAACCCAGTGAGAGAGGTGTGGCTCCCTTCACTCTCTGGCGGAACAGACAGAAGCTCAGGGAGGTTAGAACAAGCTCAGGGCAGTAGACGGCAGCGTCAGGATCAGTCAGGCCAGCCCGGTACTCCTGTCCCCGGCACAGAGAGGCCCCGGCTGCGGTAGGGGAACTCGGGGATATGCCAGCGCTCAGCCGCAGCCGCTCCAAGCCCAGTTGCTTTGTGTGAATCTCAAGGGGCAGCTACAAGTTACTCTTTCCTTTCTCTGGCTCTTTTTCTTGCCCCCTGCCCCTCCCTTTCCAGTTCCTGCAGTTGCGATGAACTCTCTCCTCTGCTTCTTTTGGCCAGAAAAAGGAGGTTTGCTGTCTGAGATTCTGGGGTCCCCATGGCCCGAGGGTGAAAGTCATAAAAGTGGGACATTCACCAAGTGTCTCCTCTTCCTCCCTGCCAGCGCCCCTCCAGAGTCGGCCTCTGTCTTCATGTAGCTGCTGTCCCGACACTACCTGCAGCCCAGACATCACAGCTGTTTCCAAGAGAGTTTGTTGGTAGGAGCTATGCTATGGCTGAGAAATAAAGTTTTAAACAAGAAATTTTGAATCAAATAGATGGTTTGTAGAAATATTCATTTTCTTTTCACTTTTGATAGAATGAATGCTTCTTGGTGCTCTCTAATAACCTTGTAATTGTCTTCTTTTGTAGACTATCTAGTTGGTTTCTATATTAAAAACAGTGCTCCTAGACCAAGAGCCAAACAATGCCACGGGCATTTCCCCACAAAGCAGGCATGTGGGACCACACGTGTGCTTCTGCACTGCCCTCTAATGGCTGAATGTTTCAAATACAAATCAAAGTACTAGTTATGGAACCCCATTTTTCAGACAGCTCGACTGGTAACAAATTGTGGGAATCATGAGTCTCCCTAGTAACAAAATATCTTACTGATTGTGAACTATTTATTATTTTGACTTTTATTAACAACAATAGAAAACAACAAACAAAAATCTCTTAAAAAGCTTTTGAGATGTTTAAATGGTCCGTGGCATAGTTAATGGAATGAAGGTAAAAATTAAGGATATTGGGTAAGACACTCCAGAGCTAAAAAGACGAAGGCAGTAAATTGTCCTGAAGGACCTGAGGACTGTCAGGTGAACCTGGGATGTGTGTGTGTGTGTGTGTGTGAGAGAGAGAGAGAGAGAGAGAGAGAGAGAGAGAGAGGGAGGGAGAGAGAGAGGGAGAGGTAGGGAGAAGGGGAGAGAGCTCATATGCATGTTCTTTCTTGGAGTAATAGCGCCATCTTGTGTCTTTCTTTGATTTTTCTGATAGTAAAACATGGAAACCCTTGTTTGTTTCAGCATTTCTAAATGAGTTTAGAAATAAACTCATTAATTTAGAATGAGTTTATTTCAGCCAAACTGAGAACATGCCGGGAAGCAAGGTCTCAAATACTCCCAAGAACGACAGTTTTGCAGTTTCTTTCGCACTTTTGAATTAAGGAGGAAACCTAAGGAAGATGACATGCAGGTGGGAGAAAGCAAGGCCAGAAAATCTCTCTGACTGGATTACAAGATAGTGAACAAGATGTGCCCCTTGCTGGTGCTGTACAGTTCTATGGGTGTGGACAAATGTCCACTGCCAGGTATCCGCTGTTGTGGTGTCATACAGAAGAGTTTCACCGCATTCAAAATCCCCTGTGCTCCTCCTGTTTATCCTTTCCTCTCTCTCCTCAAGCCCCTAGTAACTACTAACCTTTTAAACGTCTCTACGGTTTTGCCTTTTGCAGAATGGCATATAGCTGGATTCATACATATGGAGCCTTTTCAGACTGGCTGCTTTCACTTCGCAATGTGCATTAAGCACCTTCTATGTCTTTTCATGACGTGGTAGCTCATTTCTTTTTATTGTTAAATCATATTCCATTGTAGGAGTGTATTGCAGTTTCTTTATCCACTCATCTACTAAAAGACAGCTCGCTGGCCTCCACAGCTTGACAATTATCATTCAAGCTGTTCTAAACATCTGTGTTCAGGTTTTCCTGTGGACATAAATTTTCAACTCATTTAGGTAAATGCCAAGGAGGGTGATTGCTGGATAGTATAGTAATATGTTTAGCTTTGTAAGAAACTGCCAGGCTATCTTCCAACGTGATTGTGCCAGATTGCATTTCTACCAGCAATAAATGCGAATTCCTGTTGCTCCACATCCTCATCAGCATTTGGTGTTGTCGATGCTGTGAATTTTAGCCATTCTAACACGTGTGCTGTGGTATTGTGGTGTGTTACTTTGTAGTTCCCTGATGACATGCGATGTTGAACACTTTTTCACATGCCTATTTGCCATCTGTCTATCTTCTCTGGGGAGACATTTGTTCAGATCTTTTGCCTATTTTAAAATTAGTTTGGAGTTTTTGTATATATTGTCCTTCAGCAGGTATGTGTTTTGCAATCACTTTCTCCCAGTCTGTGCCTCATCTTTTCATTCCCTTATTAGTGTCTTTGGAGAGTTTTGAATTTTTTTTTTATCCTAATGAAGTCAACAAAAGAATCATCCCTCATTTAGGGAATATCCCAAAATGCCAACAGCAGTGGAAAGGAAGGGGGTGAGGAGGAAGTGCATTAATTTCCTCATCATAGCAGGGCACAAATTTTTCTAAAATTAAAACATTTTTTAGAATTTGTAACTTCCTTCACCATGTTTTTGATATTCACCAATGATGCATAGACTTTGTTCCTCAATTGTGTGGCATTTCATTGTGGAAATATGCCTTTCCTTTTCTTCTTGTTTATCCATTTTCCTGTTGATGGACCCCTGAATCACTTAGTTTTTTGGCTGTTACAAACACACCTGCTATACATTTCTGTAAGTCTTAGTTTTAGGAATCACTTTTAAATTTTGAATTGGCCTGGGTGTTGGAATGATTTGAGTAATTCTTCATCCCTCGGATTTGAGCCCAGGTGTCATTTCCTTAGAACCCTATTGTGACGGTCTAAGGGAGTCCTGTCTTTATCCCCTCTCTCTCACAGCACCTACTGAAGTGTTGTACACAGTGGGTGCTCAATAAATAACTGTTGGAAGACTGAATCATTCTAAAAAGCAAGTTACAGGTTGACAAATTCACCAGTGGCCACCAAATGCCAGGGTTCACAACATTCTCAGCAAAGCACGTAGATTCTAACCACGTCCCCAAACCAAATCTAAAGCACCAAATGGTGGCCTCGGTTCCCGCGATATTCCCAAGGCTGAGACGGGAGGAAGCCAGATTTGGGGGTCAGAGGGAGACTATTTCGAATTAGGTCGGGCAAACACCATTATACAGCTTACACGCTTCATGGTGTAAGTGCATGGAAAGTGTGGGCAGCCAGGAGGCCCACCAAGAGCCGCAGGAAACGCAAACTTGGAAGTCATCCCGCCCCGTGGAATCCGCTGAGATGTTCCGCATCTGCGTCCAAGAGGGCGGGCCCCGCGCAAGGGTGCGGCCGCGTTGGTGGGGTCCCGGGGGCTCAGCCGGCACGAACAAGGCAGATGCCAACCTCACACCGCATTAAAAAGCCGAGGCCAACAGGGTGCTTAGTGCCTGCGCAGCACGCTCCCCGGAAGCGGGGCCGAGAAGCCTTCTCGAGCTGCGCCTGCGCACTGAGGTCCGCTCGCAAATAGCCAATGAACAGAGGGGTGGGCGGGCTGTAGGCCAGCGACCTGGTTTCCAGTTCCGGTGGGCTGTGGTCTGTCGGCTCCTGTGCTACGTGTCTCAAGCAGCGGGGTTGTCGGTGGGCAGGTAGGTCTCTGTCTCCTGGGGGGCGTAGGCGAGCCCCTTGTGACTCGCGTAGGCGGCGGGCGTGGGCGGTCCGGCGGGTGGCCCCGGCCGCTGGTGTGGACGGGCGGGCTGGGAGGGGACCCCGCGCTCAGGTCCGCGACCAGGGTCCCGCCACAAGCAGGTGGGGAAGCGGAGACCCAGAGCCGCGGACCCCCGAGGAGAGGGACGCCAAGGCCGTAGTCCTTCCGGGCGTGAAAAAGCTCAGGTGCCGGCTTTTTGGGCGCTCATTCTCGGCCACCTGCAGGCCTCCCGCCGGGGTCCCCTTGGGGTTGGCTTTGGGAATGTGCGTCCTCTCGGATGTGTGTCCTCTTGGAAGAGCTGTCTGTGTTTGGGCGGCCCTGCCTGAGCTCCTGTGATGTGGGACGATCGATCTAGATTCTAGATCAGCAGATCACAGTGGGTTATGGGATCCCTCCCCTGACATCGAGGGCAGTGTTTTGTGTATTGGCCTTACACCCCTCTCCGGCTCCTGGAAAGAGTCCTTAACTTTCATCGCGACATCTGTAAAGTTTAATTTTAAGTCCACTGGATTTGAAGAACAAAGTTTAGTGAAATGCTGAGAAAGCAGGCATTAGTATATTTTTGGACGGACCCCACATACTTGGCCTAGAATGTGTAGACGAATTCCTAGTGTGTTTTAAATATTTTCATGCCCCTTATTGTAACTGCCCACCCCAGGCGAGGAAACATTTCATAGACAGGGATTTGAACCACTGCCTGGTCTTACAGTGACATTCATTCATTGGCTCATCAGAAGTGTATTAAGTGTTTATGCGCCTGGTCACTGTCCTAAGCACTGGAGATAATAGTAAGGCCTCCGTAGCTGTTGTATGCGTGGCTCTCAAAACTAAGATGAGGTGGCATCTCTATTGAGTAATAGATTCCTTAAAAGGACCTATATGAGAAACTTTATAGCCCTGTTTCCTTAGAGCCGTGTCCAGACCTGAAGGTTTGGAGCTCAGCGGATAGCTTTAGTTGATCCTTGTGGTTCTGAGGATTTGATAGATCTATCCCACGCAAATACCCTCTTTTCCAGAAGTGTGGGGTGGCCATGGTTGGGAGCTGTTAGGTTGAAACCCACGTTTGCTTCTACGCTGGCTCTTGTAGTACCATGGCGGGATTCACTGCAGGAGACACTGGTTCTGGGGAGTTTAAAATAAGATACAGAAAATATTTGTTGGATTGCGAAAAGAGAGGACTGCAGAGTGGGTTCGAATGGAAGCGCTGTCATTGCTTAACTGTGCGTGCAGCCTTCGTCAGTGACGATGATGTGGGCGAAGCCTGTGCTGTTGCCGTTACTCTGCTGCTTTGCTGGCGTCTACAAAAATTATGTCAGTATTTTCTTCCTTTGTTTATTTTGTGGGACAGGATTGACCCAGATCAGGGATGAATTTCTGGCCCTGCTCATTTGCAATTAGATAGAACTGAACAAGTCCTTGCCGTGTGATAAATAATACCACTGAGTATCTTTTCTCTTGTTTTTTTTTACAAGCACCATGGATCAGGTAATGCAGTTCGTTGAACCCAGTCGGCAGTTTGTGAAGGATTCAATCCGGCTGGTTAAAAGATGCACCAAACCTGACAGGAAAGGTAATGGCTTGAAAGGGAGAGAAAAAGTTCAGTCTTTGCATTTCCTAAGCCTTTCATTTGATTAGTATCGCCCTGTTTAATAGCTCTTAATTACTTCCTCTCATTCACATTTTTATTATTTGCTTTATTGCTTTTTAATATTGTCACTTCTTCCTAAATTTTGCATGCCTTATACATTTTTGTGTTACGTATTTTCCAATGGTTTGAGATTATTTATTACAACCCTGTTTTTCATGTTATGTTTGTCTAAGTTATATTTAAGGACTTTAGAGTTTTTAGTGTCTTCCATATTTTCACTTTGGAAAATTTTTGGGATCCCTCCGTGCTCTGTATGGCTCCCCGCAAGTCCCCCAGGCAGAGCCTGAACCATCACAGTTGCTGCCAGCCTAGGAGGGTTAATTTCGTATTGCTCAGGGTTGATGTGTTAAAAGGTGCACCAGAGTTTGTCTGCTTTTATTCATGTATTGACTGCTGCCTGGGTCAGGAGGTGGGAATACAATGGAGAAGATAACACATTACAAGAATAGTAAAATGTATAAAAATACAGAACAGAGAACAGTCCTTGCTCTCACAGAGCTTAGGCTTTTTCAGGAAAGGCTGTCATGAACCAGTAACAGCAGTTACAGCTTTCTGTTGCTGCTGGGGGACGTGTTATGGAAGAGAAACAGGAGAACTAGTAGGAGCACTAACCAAGTCTGGACGGCTTCCCTGAAGAAATAATGTTAAATGGAAACATTACCATGGTCTGCACTATATGTACAGTTGCGCTCACCCCAGCTTGATTGTCGAGCCTTATTGTTGGCCTGATCATAATGTCAAAGACAGTGGACCCATTTTTTTTATTAAAAATTGTGGTTTGTCCTTTTACAATCAGTATTTTTGGCGACGCAACAGAATTTTAAAGACAAATACTCTGTATTTTTTCTGTCTGCATTTTATTTCTTTTTGGCGTCCTGGTCATTTTCTGAGAAGATAAACTATTTTGCTGCTTGTTGATGGATTCACTAAAATGAGCATGTACTTTATTAAATATCAATAAAGTATGAAGATTTAAAAGTTATCAAAGAGCTTATTTACTATTAATAAATATATATATTTTTACTATCAGGAGAAAGGTACACCAGCAAGTTTATGTCACTGCTAGTTTTTTCCCCTATCCTTTCAATGACACTGTGAAAAATGATAAATTTTGTGTTTTTAATCCAGAATTCCAGAAGATTGCCATGGCAACAGCAATAGGATTTGCTATAATGGGGTTCATTGGCTTTTTTGTGAAGTTGATCCATATCCCCATTAATAACATCATTGTGTAAGTAAACTTTTTGAAATAGACAATATTTAGACTGGAATGGAAAGTGACACCATTTGAGTTGACAGTTTGCTATTTCATTAATGCACAGATGTCTCTTAACTTAATGCTGTTAGAATCTGCTGATCTTTACTGAGTCCTTGATCATTGGAAGTGATTTTTGTTCTTGTTATGATTGACCCCGGTGTTTGAGTGACGCTGGTAAGCTGTCGTGGTTGGGAACAATTGCGCCAGTCCGAATTCTTTGTGTTCAACTAACATATTGTCTGTCAAATTGAAAAACTTCCCAACCGACCCTCCTGTCCTGTGATTCCTATTCTTTGTCCTGTTCAGAAAGACGCTGTGCTACACTGAACACATTTCTCGAGGGTAGGATCCTGCGTATTTAAGATCGGTCTGTTCTAGCAGCCCCATCCTCTGTGGGACTTTTTCAATCCAAGAGTCTCAAGTCACATTTCTTCTCTTTGATGCTGTTGGGAGGTAGTGTAGGTGTGGTTCTCAGATCACTGGTTTTGGCTCCATAAGATGACAGCAGACTGCATTTCAAGTAATTGTTACTATTAAAAGCCTACATACACGCAAAATCGACCATTTTTCTTTCTTTTACAGAGGTGGCTGAATGAATACCTTTCTAGAGGAGGGTTTTTCATCTTGGGGATTGGTCGACAAGAGACAATTTGAGAAGCTCATGGAGTGAAAAATTTGCCTGTGTGCTTTGTGTTCTTTCCTTTTTTTCCCATGTTTTCTATTTCTAAATTAAAATAATTTCAAAATAAACAGACTTCTCTGTGTTCTGTCAGGGCTGTTGGTCCCATTTTCGTGGCAGGAGGTACCGGGTTCCTCCCTTTTCTCCCGCCTCGGTGGGCAGGGGAAGGTAAGGGCAGGGTGGGGTCCGCGCTCGCTTGCTCAGGCGCTGCCCCAGCAGTGAGCTATGGGAGGGTTTGCGGCAGGGGCAGAGCCGGCCCTTCTGCTGCTGTCCGGCGAGAACAGGCGTGCCAGCCTGCAGGCGCCTCAGCGCTGCGTGGAACAGCCTCCTGAGAAGCGTGGGTGACGCTGGACAGGAGTGGGCCTTTCTGCAGTCGCAGCCATCAACAGCGGCGCTGGGAATTCGGAATCTTGTGAAGAATGCGCCGATCATTGAATGTGAGCTGCGAAGGGGCCGCCTTACCATTTAAAAAATGAGTAATAAAAAGTAGAGCAGTTTCTGTCCCTTGCCAATCTATTTTACTAATTGTTCACACAGCGTTTAGTTACTGAACGTCACTTCCCAAGATCTAACATGCTGAGCAGGGAGCTGCGCAGCGCGGGTTTGGCAAACGCCCTCGGGTCCCTTGGGGGAAGGTGGGCAGGTGCCCCACCGCCAGCTGGCCACGCACCCCGACGGCGGGACTCGCGGTTGGAGGGTGAAGCCTGTGTTCGCGGTGACAGGCGCGCTCTCCTTCGGGTTTTGAAATGCTGATCGTGTCTGGAAGGATGGGGGGCTTCAAGGGAATGGAAACACAGCCTTGGCCATGCCGAGTCTCGGGCACACCAGGGAGCTGCCTTTTACAGAGATTTAGCTCCTTAAGGGCCAAGTGTGTGTGTGGGCGCACACATGTGTGCGCGTGCATAAATCACATGTGTGCAGTGCATGTTAAGGCAAAATTAAAATACAGACTTGCTTTGCTTCAGGCAAGTGTGTCTATTTTCTTGCGGGGTATAATTATGGATTCCTATTGATAGCATCCATTCCGGCTGTCTCGTTTCACTGGCTCCCTGGTTTTTGACACACGGGTGGTGAGGTGTTTGCACAGACACTGTGTATTTATTACCCACCTAGAGTGAGGGCTAAGAGCCGGTCGTGGAGCCGATAACTTTCAGGGGAAGATAAAGTAGGTTTCTCTTCTTAGCCTAGTACATTGCAGAGCTAGTGCATTTGTGTTATAAAATAGCGCTTCTTAAACTTGCTGTGTAAAAGTCATCTGAGGTTTTTTTTTTTTTTAAACTTGCCCCCCACCCCCGCCTCTGAGATTCTGATTCAGCAGTGAGGGTGGGCCTGAGATTTCGCATTTCTGTTTCCCTGCTGATGGCGGATGATACGTGGTCCACACTTTGAGGAGCACGTTTTTTAAGTTCTAGATTTTCTGTTGTGCAAACACTTGTGGCAAAACATACCAGTGCCCTTCTTGTGGCAGTCCTATTTTCATGAACTCCAACCCTCATAAGCAAATGCTTGGCCGCCTAAAATCTACCTGAACAACTGAAAAGTCAACAGAAAGACGTCGGGAAGGACAGGCGGGCAGACCTGCGGGGGGAGGAGAGGGAGTCAGGCTTGGTTCCAGCACCGGCTGCTGCGTGTCCTCGGATCGCGAAGCTTCCCTCCAAAGTCTGTCCCTCCCGGCCTGTCTCCGTTTGCTAGGTTCTGCTTGGAGGGAAGGAAGGGCATTTAAGCGAAGGGCTTACAGGCTGAGGCTGGAGGGAGCCCCTGGCGCCAGCCGCTGCCTCTGACGGGCTGCGTCCACCTTGCGTTTCACTCGCGCTGGTCGGGATTGGTGGGCAGGTCCGGCTCCCCGGGGGCGGCTGTCCCGTGTCCTAAGGCTCACTCCGCCTGCAGCCTCTCCCCAAACACTGTGGGAATCGAGCTAGTGGGCCTCTCTCTCATGATTTATGACCTTTTCTTTAAAATAAATTGATTATAGGACTGTTTTGTAGACAGGCTCCTGGAATGTCTTGATTTCACGATTTAGTTAAAGGTCATGAAAAGAGATCATTAGACAAGTCACTAACTATAACTTAATAAACACGTATTTGCCTCCTCTACCAAACACTTGCCGAATTTCTAAACGAAGAGCATGACAATTAAAATTTTTGTTAAAGTTATTGCTTATTTCTTTGCTCTGCCCTAAGAGACACTGTTGAAATGTGTGGAGAATCAGAGGTCTGATTTGGGGGGTGAGCACACAGGCCTTCCCCTATCCCAGGAATTGAAGTTTTCAAGGACACAGCTTGACTTAGGATTAAAATAGATTTCCTTTCACCCTTTTTCCTGGTGAACTATGTTAGAATAAATTTTCCGATTTCCCATTTCTTTCTTCCCAAAAGACTCTTTTGGATGATAGCAGAGTTTAGACGATTTGTGGTTGCGAAGGTCTCAGCTATTAGAACACAATGCTCCGGGTCAGTTGCCGCCTGTATAGGTAGGTCCTCTTTACTCACCTGGTCTTCCTCAGCTCGCGCAGTGGCGAGGTGGGGAAGGGGTCTTTGAACTCCATTCCTGTGAGAATGTTGGCGCTGGAGGGCCGCAAGTCTCGTGTCCGGGACCCCCAGGCAGCTGTTTCTCCGCAGCAGATCCTGCAAAAGTTTAAGTTCCAGTAGCCTTGGATTGTTACGCAGGTAACCTAGAATCTCACATGCAGAGGTACAGGCTAGCTTTAGAGGAATGGGTCCCCCGTTCCTTACACACATCAATAGATTTGTATAAAATAGGCTTTATTTAAAAGGTGTCAATCTCAGAAAACTTTCCAGAAAAGAAATGTCATATTAGTGATTTATATCGAAAGTCTAAATCGAGCTGAAATAGTTTTCTGAAGCGAAGGGAAATTGCTTTCCTTTATTAGACAAGTGGGCTAAATAACACAGCGTAAGCCTGCAGATTCAGCAACGTAGCCCGGGTTCTGTGGCTTTTCCTGCACCTGTTTGGAAGCTCTTTCTGTTTCCAGTAGTTCTGTGAGTCAGTGGTTCATTCATCACTTTGTGTGATTCATTCATCTGCTCCAAGGTTTTGTCCTTGGGTTTCAATAAGCATTGTCGCGCCAGGTGTCCTGGAGCTTGTCAACTATTCACCCACCTAGTAAGCATCTATTAAAAGCTAAAAATAGAATCTTTTCATTTTTTTGAATAGTGGCCATACAAAAAAAACACATGACAGCACACAATTACATGTAATGTGCGCCTGCACTTAGTTTTGGCCCACAATGATAAATAAACAGGCAAATTTCAAAACACTTCGAAATCACATAAATCTCTTGAATTATTTAAGCATCATTATTAAAATAATATTTTTTATTGACTTGGCAAGATGCCAAGTAACAGAGTGTACATTATAAATGTTACATTAGAAAATTAGAATTTAGTTGGCTGTCGATGACCCGATTTTTGGTTTTCCTGGAGCTGAGGGTTTTGCTAGGATCCCAGGTTTTCAGTGCTACACTCAGGGTGGTTAATGTCTCACTTGCTGCCCTCTCGCCTCTTTGTTCCACTAGCCAGGCCTTGTCTGGAGGAAATTCATCCTCCACTCGGTGCTGACCAAAGCAGCAACTAAGCCAGGGTGCTCAGCCCGCCCTGCCGCCTGTGACCTGTTGTTGGCGCACGTGCCGGTGAGTGGCACTGGGCGTCTGATGAGCATGTCCCAGCAGCTCCTAATTCCTTGCCCCATCTACCTGTTCATCATCTTCGGTTCTATTTGAGTCTAACCTTTACGGCTGGAGTTTAGTTTTGGTTCACGTTCTTGACAATTCTGTTTCCAGTTGGCAGTAGAATAAACCCGTTAACATCACCTCGCTGCGAAGGCCCTGAAATCCTGTATGGTTCCTGCCCGTTGTCCTGCCAGCCCGAAGCATATGCCTCCTCCCTGGACCGCCGCCCGCCAGCCGTGGCTGTGGCCTTGCTCTGGCCGTCCCCGGCCTGGCCGCAGCCAGGTGGCTGGTATGCCTGTGCGTCTTCCCAAGTAGTTTTGACTCCTTGAGTTGCTTCTTTGACATGGTTTGCCTAATTGCATCTTTTCCTTTATCTGAGTGGTTCCCAAGCCTTTAACGGAGGTTTTAATATACAGTGTTCTGGGCTCTGTCCCTAGAGATTCTGATTCCATTGGTCAAGGAAGGGCCCCTGAGTTGCATGCTACTGGGTTGCAGGTGAAACTCCTGGTTCAGAGCCATACTTTGAGAGCCAGTGTTTTGAATCCAACATTGACTAGAAGGGCCAGACCTTTATGAAGCCCAGTTCTAACTTCTCCTCCACATCCGCTCACTTGAGCCGCGGGGTGCCTGTATCTGACGCCACACAGAAGCCAGCTGGCAGAGAACGATGTCGCTGCCGACGCTGTCCTGTGATGATACCCTTTGCCTCACGTGTCGTGGAGACTACCTCAAGTTTTAACTTGCAGTGTGCTCTCTAAAGAGGGTACACGCTTATCAGCTTCGGTCAGCAGCTGAAATAGATTCAAACTCACGCCATGTTTCTGCCTGGGTCCTCGATGCATTTTTACGGAACGTAACAAGGGGAAGTAGGACAAAATATAGAAATTTGCCCCAAGTAGCTTCTGGCTCCAAAGAGGCAGTCTTGACTACCCTAGTGGATTGAGTTTGAATTTAATACACTGGATATAAATAAGTCTCCTGCAGTGCCTTTATTCCCTTCTCAGTGTGGACTGTCGCTGTGTGTAGAAGAGAGGAAGTACCATAAAGCTACCATCGTAGAAGGAGGCATGGATTACCAAAAAATCCCGTATTATTTTACTGGTGATATTATTGGCTGTGGGGGTTTTAGCCAGCATCTCAGCAGCAGTGAAAGTCAGGCAACAGCTATGAAGCTTGCTGAGCTGGGATTTCTTTTATTTCTTCGTGAAGGTAGGAGATAAATAGGGACTTTGATGGCTTGGGGCTTTGCTTTCATGGTTCATATAGTGGGAAGCAGAACAGCCACAAAAGAGGTTTAAAATTAGAAAAAAATAAAGAAAATTAGAAAAAGAGGTGATTTATTCACCGATTCCGATTTCTGATGCAAAAGAAACAAAAATTCCT